CATTAGATCCCCAATACACAAACCAAGTATTATATCTTACATTTGCAGGGGAACCTACTGGATCAGCATGACACCTGAGCAGCTTGCACCCGAGTTTGGCAAAAGCGATGTGTGCATTTTCCTCAAAGTTTACAAAATATTTATATTAGTAATCTACATAAACAATAGTCACTGGTCTGTGTCAGCGACAATTCCAAATACAAAGGAAAACAGTTTCCTGAATATACTGTATTCGGGATCACAAATTTCATGGAGACTGAAGTTGCTGGAAGGTGGTCACCAGGTGCTGATACAGCAGGTCAGACAGAAGGAGTTTCTTGTGTGGACTAGACCAAACATGCTAAAAATGCTAATATTTGCAGAAACAGGGTCTCAGTGCGGTCTGTCGGAATGAATGCTATATATCCTAGCCAAAAAAAAAAAAAAAAAACCCCCACACAGGACATTCTACAGTGGAATAACAAATGAAATCCAGGGCTGATATTTATAGTTTCCTGGTGGCTGGAGAAACAAGGCCTGTCTGTAGCCAGCGGTCTACAATGACAACAATGCTGATATGAGGCATACAACTGTAAATGTTAATAACTAATAATGTAATTTCTACTATACACAACTGTTAACCCTTTGCCGCTGACTGTACACATAAGCGGGTCATCTTGCACTGGGATATAGAGAAAATTATATATATATATATATATATATATATGCATTTCCACCTGGCAGTACTCGAGTTGTTGGTTTTGAATCCCAACCACAGCACTACTTGCATGTTCTCCCTGTGCGTGCGTTTCCTCCGGGTACTCCGGTTTCCTCCCACACTCCAAAGACATGCTGGAAGGTTAATTGGATCCTGTCTAAATTGCCCCTAGTATGTTTATGTATGAATGCGAGTTAGGGACCTTAGATTGTACGCCCCTTGAGGGTTAGGGACCTTAGATTGTACACCCCTTGAGGGTTAGGGACCTTAGATTGTACACCCCTTGAGGGTTAGGGACTGATGTGAATGTACAATATATATGTAAAGTGCTGCATAAACTGAACGGCGCTATACAAGTACCTGAAATAAATATATGCGTATCTGTTTGTACTGAGCGAGCGCTTCATAGAGTGCTCCTAGCACAGAGACCGGGTTCTTGCTGGAAGTCTCAACCTTCTGTACCAATCATTTGGTACAGGAGGTTATGTTGAAGATTACCCGATTGCTGTGATAGAAAGCCACATTGGGAGGGAAGGGGAAAAAAAAAAAAAAAAAAAAAAAAATAAGTAGAACAGGGTTTGACCTAGGTCAGTATCAGGGTAAGTAAAGGTCAAAGGTTAAGGCATTAAAATTGATAATATATATATAAAAAAATATCAGTGTGTTTCAGGTAGGATAAAAAAAAAAAGCAAAAGCGTGTATGCGTTGTTTCTACTATGGGTACAAGTAAGCACAAGTGTTATTGCTGCGATAGAAGCCGGGGGAATTTATTTTTGCAAAATGGTGTCTAGGCATTGGGATTTGTTTTACACTTGTCATGAAGGGGTTAGGAAGCCATTAAATCTATAAAATTTCATATTAGGACTCAAATACAATAATAAAAGTACTTTTATTGGGGAACTAAAAACTTAAGGATAAGTTCACCTTTTGCCAAAAAAAAACAAAAAAAAAAAAAAAAGTGCATTTATTATTTTTTGTTGCAGGAGCCTGGAAAGCACTGCACCAGCAATCAGCAGATCGCTGGCGTCATGCAGGTCTCCTGAAGACCTGTCAGTGCATCGGCTTGCCCGTACAGCCCGTAAGAGCAAGCAGATACACTGACAGGAAGAGTCAATGAACTACCACAGCACTCCACATCGCTGTGGTAGTTCATTGTTAACTCCAAGCCGACAGCCACTAAGGATGTTGGTACTTGCAGTTATTTATTACACAAAAAAAAAAAAAAAAAAAAATAATAATACACCTGAGGCCATGGGTGGGATTGGAACACCTGAATCACATGATTTGGAGAAGGGTCCCATATATATGTATACACAAACACACACACCTCTCTCTCCATCCATGGAGTCATATCCGACCCTTGCCGATTGCATTGACTGTCACTGGCAAGCGATTTTTCCATGAATTCTCTTAGCAATTATTTTACAGGTCTTTCCCCAACCCCTACCATGCAGGAGATCCCACATGGCCAGGGATGAAACTAGGACAATTTAGACAGGAGCCAATTAACCTACCAGCATGTCTTTGGAGTGTGGGAGGAAACTGGAGTACCTGGAGGAAACCCACGCACGCAAGCACAGGGAGAACATGCAAACTCCATGCAGGAGGCGCCATGGTTGGGAATTGAACCCATGACTCATTTACTGCACGGCAGACGTGCTAACCACTAAGCCACTGTGCTGTATAATTTATATACATACACACAATCAGGCAGAGGCTGCAGCATTGGGAACATGTTACCTGTTCAACTAAAAAAAAAAAACAAAACAAAAAACAGTAACATGTACCCAAAGGTGAGCTTATCCTTTGAAATCTTTACACCACCCTGGGGTGACAAGCACTACAAGTATGTAGCCTACTATCTACAGCTTGTTTTTATAGTACATGGAGTCTGTACTGGAAAGCAATGGGATATGTACGGAAGCCCAAGCACAGCTAGAGTGCTGAAAGCCTACAGCACTTCCACGCAGGATACCCTGCTGATCAGCAACAGAGGTCTGCTGTAAAGCATTTCCACTTTTTTCCTGTAGTGTACATTTGACATCTACACCTAAAGTGACCATAACATGGAATCAAGCCTCGTTGGCAGGTTTATCGCTATATACATACAGGATGTACTATGTAAAAAATTATATTTACATAAAGAGCCATTATGAAAATTAGAGATCAGAACATCTCTTCATTGTACTACAGGAAAAAAAAAACAACCCACAACGCCGCATGAAAATATCGAATGCTGAAATCCTGCTAAAAGGTTATCGAACAGAAATCTGAGTGAAGATTGTAGGGTTGTTTGCCTTTAGGAATGTATCAGTTTGAGAAACCATAACCTAGTGCTGTAAAGCTGGTCAAGTCTCCATATAGAAGACTGTCGGTACATTCTGCTATGGAACCCATGCCACATCATGAAGTCTACAGACTCCTGCAAGCCACAAATATACGAATCGTTAATCAGTTCGCCATACAATCCTATGAAGCGGCTATTGTCAGCAAGGCGGCCGTGACCCATCTAGCCTGGCATTTGTCCTGTCAGATGTGTGTGTAATCAATGACCTATATTGGACAGAAAAGCAGCCTGGGGTGTTTCTTGTGTGTCCTGTCATCAAGGCATTACCCTGGATTTACTGTGACACATCCTGCCATCCTAGCTTGTAAACACCAACTTATCTTAGCAGCTCAGCAGTCTGGAGACCTAACAGGCGCCATCAGCAGTTGGAGAACCACAAGTATCAATATCTCTCATTCAGTCTATTACTCTTCAATGATTATAGCAGTACAAAAAGCTAAAAGTAAAAAGGGCAGACTAAACAGGATGATGCTATGAGAGATTTGAATGCAACTAGAATAGCAGTTTTGGTATCTAAAAGTGTACCCCCTATCATATATAAACATTTCCACTTCCAGTCAAATTTGAGGAACTCCCACTATGTTTGTGTGTCGCCATTCACAAAGCATAGCTAAAAAAAAAAAAAAAAAAAAAAAAAAAAAAAAAAAAAAAAAGTACCCTGTCTGAGGAGGGCTGCATCCCTGAAGCATTGTCTGTAGGCCATTCCTGTCCTGGTTCCCTTGGCCTCCCTTTGGAAATGTATTTTCTGGAGCACTGGAGAGTACACACGGTGATCTAAACTTAAGTAGGCAAAACTTTTTTTTTCCTCATTTTGGATAGGTAAAAGGGAAGGTTATAAACCCGTTGGATTTTTTTTTGCCACCCATGTCCCATTGCATAGATTTCCCTTCACTTCCTGTTCAACAGCCAAAACAGGAAGTGAGGGGAAATCCCTGCAAGTTAATGGAATCCCTTGGGGAACCCCCAGAACTAGTGTCACCATTGGAAGATTTAACTCTTTTCTGGGGACAACCCAAAATTTGGGATTTTCTTAACTTTCACTGATAAAAGGTAAACTCTGTCCAAAACAAAAAAAAAAAAAAGTTTTTGCCTTTAGATACTTTAAAATATTTCTTCTGAGGTGGGTGTATGGTGTTCGTTCACCTCTTCATTTATTCTGGAAAAAAAGTGAACACTAATGCTGTTAAGGACAGTGTTGAAATCTAATTTACAACTGATGAGATCTACCAGCACACCACAGACAGGATTGAAAGGATCTCTCCTAGATTGTAAACTCTAACGAGCCAGGCCCTCTGTTTCCTCTTGTACCAAATTGTATTGTAACTGTAATGTCTGCCTTCATTATTAAAATCAGGGGTGCTGCTGGAGCTATAAAAAAAAAAAAAAAATGTTAAAACAGGGGTACATAAGGAGAAATATAATAAAAAAATATATATATATAAAAATATACATATACACACACACACACATACACACACACAAATAAATATATATTACACATACACACAAAAGACGAAACAAGAAAAAAAACCCACAAACACATCCTGTAACCCTCAATCTTACATTCTTATAGCGACCAATGGCACTACAAGCACCAGCATGCCGTCAAGTCTTAATATGCCACTTTTACTACATCATGAAATGAAGGACCTTTATACAAGGCAAGTTCTGTATCATCTTCACCCTCCTGACGGATCATGCGTCTGTGTTCCTGCAGAACCGCAGCAACACCAGAACTATTCTAACACCACTTGTATGCAGTGAATTGCAGAGAACTATAAACTTCAGCAAACTACATGACCCAGCCCATCACAGGCCAAGTTGGCATTTTCAGTTCTGCAGCAAAGCCAAACAAAGCCTGTAAGTACATATAAAAGCGTCAACATTGTGGATCCACGCAACACGTGCAACCCCAGTCAGACCCTTAGCATCCAACCCCCCCCCCCCACAAGTTACCTGAGCAAGGTGACGCTGCCCCTTCGCACAGGCAAGAACAGCACAGGCTCAGACACGCGGATGGGCTTGAATTGAAACTTGCAGCCGAAGCACAGGGCCGAGTCGCTGAAGAAGGACACGGAGACGATGGGCCGCTCAAAGATGTGGATAGGATCCACGTGAGAGACGATACAACCGCCGGGCTGGTAGTCATTGATAACGGCGCTGTTTACAAAGCCATCGGGGATGAGGCGGTGCTCCACCAAGCGACGGATGATAAGCTCGTGCACCCAGTCCGGGATGTCATCCACGTCACCCTTGGGGGGGAAAAAGAAAAAAAAAATTTTTAAATAATAAAGGCAGTCAAGGGATAAGTAACCAGAAGTATTTTGATAAAAACCACAAAATAAAAAGCGGAGCTTGTAATAAGATGCCAAGTCTGCATACACTTTCTAGGTATAACAAAGTAATACAGTAAAAGAAGAAAAAAAATAAATAAATCTTTAATGGAGTTCTAGATAGCAGAGGTTCTAATCCCTCTCCACTAGACAAACTAAGAAAAGAAAAAAAGGAAACTTTTGACAAATACATTTCATAAACAGAAAGCAGCCGTCTGTGAAAGACGATCAGCTATAATTTCCTGTCTGACAGGTGGTGGTGAATCAGATTTCCATTTTCTCGGGTCACATTAGTGATGTATGGTCAGCAGATCAAACCACGGCATGAAGTGGAGGAAGAAGCATCCGGCACACCCAGACGTGCCGTCATAGTTCAGCCAGAAAGTAAAGACTAGACTTGCTGGACAGGTAAGTAGTCGCTCTTCAGCGGCTCTCTGGGAGTACCCTCCTTGGGTCAGCGGTAACCGACAAAGCATCAAAAGTAACAATGGCATTTTATGGTTTCTCATCCTCTGTTCCATAGGAGTAGCCGCTAACTAGCAGGACTTCTGTCGCTGGGAGTACCTACCTGGGCTGTTGTTCTGCTTCCTTACGCAGAGTACCCAGGGTGGGTGTGAAATGTTCTCTAGTTGAGGACTCTTCCTTTTCTACATGGAGTATAGATACGCTGTACTCGGTGAGAGTACCCTAGTCCTGGCACTACCCTTCTGTCCACCTTGGTGTATGAATTCACTCCTCTGCACATTGAGAGGACAACACTAGGAGCACATACCGCCTAGGTACTGCCCCCGATATCATCCCTACTAAGTGCCGGCACCTAGTCCATAGCATAGAGTATAGCCTGCCAAACAGACACACCCCATGTGGATAACAGTACTCTGGTCTCTGGCTGTGCCCACCATAAGGTTGGTGTCTCCTCCTCTCTGCTGGGAGTACCCAGAGCTCTCTAATTGGAATCTCCAGAATCTAGGAAATACCCACCATGGAGAACAGTCTGTGGAACTCCACATACTTAGAGCTCTCTGGGAGTAACCACCTTGGGGTAGTGCCCCTCCACCTGATTAGAACATACTGGAGTACCCACTCAGGCAATCCGATTAGGTAGACTTGCCCTCGAAGTGGGTACTCCTGGGGAGCACATGACTACACCTATATATGTTCTAATCAGGTGGTGGGGCATCATGCTTCCTGGGAAGTTTCCCTCACTCTGCCTGATCAGAGTACCCAGGTTGGGTCACATGTTCTCTCAGAGCACCACCTTAGGGTAGTGCCCCACCACCTAATCAGAGTACCCAGGTAGTCAAGTCATGTGCCCCTGGAAGTACCCACCTTGGAATAGGGTGCACCTAATCAAAGCCAGGATGTGTCACCTACTCCCTGGGAGTACCCACAGTGGTGTACAGTCTCCCACACTAATCAAGAGTAGCCAGTTCAGGTCACGGGCTTCCTGTGAGTACCCACCTTGGGGTAGGGTCCACCTAATCATAGTACCCAGGATGTGTCACCTGCTCCCTTGGAGTACACAATGTGTTGTACAGTTTCCCTGCCTAATCAGAGTACCCAGTTCAGGTCATGTACTTCCTGGGAGTACCCACCTTGAGGTCGAGTCAACATATTTGGAGCACCCATGTTAGGTCATGTGCCCCCTGGGAGTAGCCACCTTGGGGTAGAGCCCCTTTATCCAATCAAGAGTACCCAGTTCAGGTCATGTGCCCCCCAGAAGTACCTACTGTGAGGTAAAAACTACCCAGAGTTCCCGGGTCAATTCAATGGGAGTACCCACCTTGGGGTAGAGTCCCTCCCCCTGAGCACTGCCCCTCTCAGGTCACATGCCCCCCCAGTACCCACCTTGGTGTAGAGCTCCTCCCTCTCAGGTCACAGGCTGCCCCTGGAGCCCCTCCCCCCCCCCCCCCCAAGAGTACCCACCTTGGTGTAGAGCCCTCCCCCTATGGTCACATGCCCCTCCGGAGTACCCACCGTGGTGTAGAGCCCATCCCAGAGTACCCGCCTTGGTGTAGAGCCCCTCCCCACTCAGGTCACGAGCCCCCCCCCCCCCCAGTAGCCACCTTGATGTAGAGCCCCGTCCCCTCAGATGACATGCCCACTGGAGTACCCACATTGGGGTAAAGCCCCTCATCCTCGGGTTACGTGCCTACCTTTGTGTAGAGACCCTCCTCCCAGAGTACCCACCTTGGAGTAAAGCCCCCCTATACCTACCTTAGAGTAGAACCCCTCCCCTTCAGGTCATGTTCCCCCCAGTACCCACCCTGGTATAGAGCCCCACCCCCAAGGTACCCACCTTGGTGTAGAGCCCCTCCCCTTTGGGGGTCACGCTCCCCTCCCTCGAGCACCCACCTTGGTCAGATCGCTCCCCCCCAGAGCACCCACCTTGGTGTAGATCCCTCACCCCCCAGAGCACCCACCTTGGTGTAGATCCCTCACCCCCCAGAGCACCCACCTTGGTGTAGATCCCTCACCCCCCAGAGCACCCACCTTGGTGTAGATCCCTCACCCCCCAGAGCACCCACCTTGGTGTAGATCCCTCACCCCCCACCCACCTTGGTGTAGCCCTCACCCCCCAGAGCCCACCTTGGTGTAGATCCCTCACCCCCCAGAGCACCCATCTTGGTGTAGGGCTCCTTCCCCTTGGGGTCAAGCTACCCTTCCCCCCGCAGAGCACCCACCTTGGGGTAGGGGCCCTTCCCCCGCAGAGCACCCACCTTGGGTAGGCCCCCCCCAGTACCCACATTGGTGTAGAGCCCCTCCCCCGAGTACCCACCTTGGGGTAGAGCCTCTCCTGGCCGGGGCCCCTCCTCTGTAGCTGGGCCCCGTAGGTGTATCCCTCCCCGAAGAAGTACTTGTTGCGGAGCGGCGCTCGGTCCACCGTGTGCTCCCGGTAGAGCCCCTTCTCGGCCCGGGCCACCACCTCGTCTATCTTGGCCTCGATGCGGAGGCATTCCTCCGGGGAGAAAAGCCGCACCTGGCGGATCCCGCTCCGCACCTTCCGCGCCTCCTCCTCCTCTTCCAGCTCCGCCTCCTCGTCCTCCGTGTCCGAGGCCGGCTGCTTCCTCTTCTTCACCTCCCGGGACTGCAGCTTCTCCCGCAGGTCGCTGTAGCCGCTGGCGGACATGACTGGAGTGCGGTGGTGGGGGAGCCTGGCGCTGCTCGGTCACCCGGGGCTGGGCATGTCCGCCGCTTCACTTCCCTCCCCTCACACCGGAGAGCGGATGTCGCTGCGCCAGCACCGCTCAAGGCCCGCCGACGTCACTGCTCCGTTCTGAGGGGATCCTCTCTAGTATTGGCACGCGGGCGTGTCAATCAAAACAATGGGCGGGGAAACGTGCCGATACGGGACGCGTGTCACGGACACGGCCTACCAAGAGCCTCTCCGCTATTGGCTCAAAGTCCTGCCAGTCCTAGCAATGGGCGGGACAGTGGGGGGCGAAAATGTAGGACCCCATGAGCTAGGACTGCCTTCAGCTGTGCCTGTACGGACCTTTCACATAAAACGCCGATTTTGGGGCTTTTTAAGGAACAGAGAACATGGAATGGCGACCGAGAAACCGCAGCTATGATTTTTATCATTGGCCTGCTAGGCTTGTACAGTCGGACGATATTAGGGAAGCATAAGGAGCTTCTGGCGCCCTTTGTTTTGGAGGCTTCACGAGACTGTCGACGTGACTAGAGTAACGTCTCTCGAGGGGGGGATGGAGTACAAAGATGGCCGCCGTGGGGGCTTTTGGGGTATACCAACATGGCCGACAATGTTGGCGCGCTTCTCATGTGTGGAAACTCCACCCCAAGTCTGCAGGGGGAACGTTATAATAAGTGACAAGCCATGCCGTAAAGCAGAACTCCAGCCACAGCTTTATTAGTAATGTGTATCCAAAGCACAAACGATTTAATACACAGATACTTTTTTGTTTACTTCTCTGCTAGGGAAATGCTGACATTTTTCTGTACTTTTTTTGTAGAAAATAGCTTAGAACCCTCAAACATTCTGTGTATATATATAAAAGCAGAGGCCCTATAGAATAAAATGGTGGGTGCTGCAATTTTTAATGTCACATGCATGCAGGCTCCACCTCTGCAACATCGCCAAGATATGTACATTCCTCACCCCAGACACCACCAAACAACTCGTACACTCCCTCATCATCTCACGCCTGGACTACTGCAACTCCCTCCTCACCAGCCTACCTAAACTAATGCTCTCCCCACTCCAGTCTATCCTGAACTCAGCGGCTAGACTCATCCACCTCACCAACCGCTCCACATCTGCCTCCCCCCTCTGCCAATCCCTTCACTGGCTCCCGATTGCCCAACGCATCAAATTCAAACTGCTAACCCTGACCTACAAAGCCATTCACAATGCCGCCCCGAACTACATAACTGACCTGATACCCAAATACTACCCTACGCGTGCCCTCCGCTCCTCACAGGACCTCCTACTCTCTAGCTCCCTGGTCTCCTCCTCCCACGTCCGATTACAGTACTTCTCCAGGACTTCCCCCATCCTCTGGAATTCCCTACCCCAATCCATCAGACTGTCACCTACCCTCATCACTTTCAGGCGCACCCTGAAAACCCTCCTCTTCAGGGAAGCCTACCCCACCCTCACCTAACAGCTGACCTCCTCCACTCTTCCCACCACTCCATCCCCCACAGCCATCTCCTCCTGTGCCACCTTCCCCTCCCTCCTAGATTGTAAGCTCCAAAGAGCAGGGCCCTCGAACCCCTCGTGTATTGTATTGTTACTGTCTTGTCTCATGTTCTGTCCCCCTTGCTACTGTACAGAGCTGAGCATACCCTTTGGCGCTATATAAATACTGTATAATAATAATGGTGTTTGCGCAGCAGTTTTTCAAATACAATTTATTTGGGGCAGAAATACAGTTTAATATATTTTATTGCACACTAAAAGTATAAAACACCTAATTTTTTGTTAAAATATGAAAGCTGATGTTACGCCGAGTAAATAGATGCCTAACATGTCACGCTTTAAAATTGCGTACGCTGGTGGAATGGCGGCAAACTATGGTACCTAAATAGCTCCATAGGTGATGCTTTAGAAGCCTTTACTGTTTAGCAGTTTAGAGTTACACAGGAGGTCTGGAGGAAAAATTATTGCTCTGACGTTCGCGGAGAGACCTGGCATGTGTGGTTTGACTACCTTTTACATATGCATACAGGACTTATGTATACGTTTGCACATAAGCACAGAAGGAGGAGGCACTTTAATTTTTTTTTATTATTTATTTAATTTGAAAAGTTTTTTTTTTTTAAACACTCAATTTTTTTGTCAACTTTATTGCTTTTTTTATTGCATCCCTTGGGACAGCATGGGTCGTGACAGGGCTTCTTTGTGGAAAGATCTGGGGTCCATAACAGGTCCTCTATGTGGAGAGATCTGGGGTCTATGACAGGTCCTCTATGTGGAGGGATCTCGGGTCCATGAGAGGTCCTCTTTATGAAGAGATCTGGGGTCTATGACTGGTCCTCTTTGTGGAGACATCTGGGGTCTATGACCAGTGCTCTTTGTGGAGAGATCTGGGGTCTATGACCGGTCCTCTTTGTGGAGAGATCTGGGGTCCATGACAGGTCCTCTTTGTGGAGAGATCTGGGGTCCATGACAGGTCCTCTTTATGAAGAGATCTGGGGTCCATTACAGGTCATCTTTATGAAGAGATCTGGGGTCTATGACAGGTCCTCTTTGGGAAGAGATTTGGGGTCCATGACAGGTCCTCTTTATGGAGAGATCTGGGGTCTATGACAGGTCCTCTTTGTGGAGAGATCTGGGGTCTATGACAGGTCCTCTTTGTGCAGAGATCTGGGGTCTATGACTGATCCTCTTTGTGGAGAGATCTGGGGTCTATGACCTGTCCACTTTGTGGAGAGATCTGGGGTCTATTAGACCCCACATCTATCCTCTGGCCTCCAGTGCAGCCAATCAGACACAGATCGGGCTGATCGGCTGCTAACGGGCAGGTAAACAAAGAGCCGAACCCGGCAGTGAAAAAATCCTCTTCATTTTGGGGTCACAGAGAGGAAGGAACAGCATGAGTTCCTCCTTCTCTGTGTAGTACCCATGGTTGCAGCAGTCCCGGGCTCCGTGATTGGACGGGAGAGCCTGGGAAAGGCAGCCGGCCCGCCGCCCGCAGAAGTGTCTGTTCAGCTATCCTAACAATGGATATAAATCCTCCTGCGCTGCCAGTACCCCTAAAGTGCAAGAGTTGCAGCAGGCTTCCAACCGAGATCCAAACAGTATAAAAACATATAATAACAAATGATGCTGCGCTACTCAAAAATGAACCTCAACATTAATAATGATAACCCCACAAAGCATTAAATGCAATCAAAAGTGAAAAAATCACACATAAAATGTGACTAAAGCCCTGAGGAAGTCACCTGATTCGTGACGTAACGCGTAGGACGGAAGCGTGGTGATGTCATTTCCGGTACGGACGGCAGCCGCCATCTTGGTATACCCATTTTGGTACACCCATCTCTGCTGTTTTCACCTACATGCCCGTATTGGTCTGTGGACCCGTTTTTTTATGTGTAAAGCATTCTGCATTTTTATTTTAATACATTTGTGAAACTTACTGCTCTATGGGAAGTCCCTTGTGATTTATTGTTCCAGGTATGGCCCATGTGAGAGGAGACTTTTGGTGCATCACGAAGGGGACATCCGAGGTATTACTGCTGGGTGCGTTTTATTTGGAACATGCATGACCTTGCCAGAGTTGGCGTTTCATCCATTTAAGAGGATTTCCCTGACACAGTATCGAGGGGACATGCAAGGATACCATCGCTGAGCATATTTATTTAAAGCGCGTATGACCCTTTGTGGCTGGAGGTGAGCTGGTGGAGGATTTTTTGCAGTGGTCACTGGTTGATTCACAGTTTAATGAAGATTTATACACTGATTGGAACTTGGCACTTTATTCATTTATTTCACTATATATATATATATATATATATTTTATATTTATTTTTATATATATATATATATATATATATATATATATATTATATTTATTCAAAATATTTATTATTTCACTTATGCATATTGGTCATGACTATTTTTTAGGTCACACCATTTAATCATTTACGAATATTTATTTATTTATTCTATTATAATCACATTTTATGTGCAATTTTTTTTTCACTTTTGATTGCATTGAATGCTTTGTCATTATTTCTGTTGAGGTTAATTTTTGAGTAGCACAGCATGATTTGTTATTATACGTTCAGCTATCCTAATCATTTACCTATTGCCTTACAAGGAATAAGGAATCGCCTCCTGCGCATTTTGATACCAGGATGATGGCAGCAGGCATCACCCCCTATAACCATTCAACGTGACGATGTCATATGTGTCCTACGGGTAGGAAGTGGTTAAAGTAGGGGATGGCTCTAAATCCCTTTTTTTTTAATGTTTTGTATTTCAGTGGTTTTTATTAATTTATAACAATGAACACAGGAGCAACAAATCACGCCCACGCAGGGGCTATCAATTGCACATAGAGGAACTAGAAATGAGAGAAATCAGTGCTCTAACACCAACAGGGCTCTAAATCCCTTTTTTACTGTTTCTGGCCAGCTGTGTCCCACTTAGGAGATTTCCCTTCACTTCCTGTCCCAGGGACACAACAGGAAGTGAGGGAAAATCTCTCCAAAGTGAGGGAAATTCACTATAGGAGCAGCTCACATGTCCTTATTAGATTTACCCCCCTCCCCCCCATTCCAATGACAACTCAAAATGTAATTTCCCTCACTATAAGCCCAACAACAATGGCGGCCAGGACAAAAGGAGAGGCTGGATCTCCTAATGGGGGATTGGACGTACAATCTAAGGTCCCTAACGTACATTCATACATACACATACTAGGGCCAATTTAGACAGGATCCAATTAACCTATCAGCATGTCTTTGGAGTGTGGGAGGAAACTGGGGTACCCAGAGGAAACCCATGCAGGCACAGGGAGAACATGCAAACTCCAGGCAGGTAGTGCTATGGTTGGGATTTGAACCGACGACCTTAGTATTGCCAGGCAGAAGTGCTAACCATTTAGCCACTGTGCTGCCCTATTTTCCTATTGGCAAAATAAACCCCAAAATGCATCA